CTGTAAAACTGGTTGCTTCTTCTTCTGCTCTGGTAGTTACAAGTATTTGCTATTCAGTCTGTTATGGATATCTGGAAAATAGTTTGAGTGCAGAAAGCGCCTCAGGGATAAAAAGTTTGAAAAGAAAAATGTAGCTGTATATCATTGGCATTCATGAGAAAATTCACATTAGATGCCTTCAAATCAGGTGCTCAGGAGACAATATAGAGATCAGGAGCAATGGTGTGCCAAGAATGCAAGCCTAGCTGGGACAGACTCAGCTTATTTCCTGGCAGATGAAGAATACAAAAGTATGTAAGGCCAAAATCAAAAGATAATATAGATGTGTGGAAGCTGGTGGGAGGGAAAGCTGAGGCTGCAGAATAAAAAGTCTATGCATGCACTCTCTGGATTGTAGACTCTTATATTCACATTTTTATTCCCTTCCTCCCATATGCATTCAACAGATCTCTTTCTATAGGTAGTTACACCAATATACCAGCCCTGGAGTGAAGCTCCTCTGCCAGCACCACTGTGGAATTTAACCCCAAATCCCTGTTGTTAAACACTGTTTCTTTCACCGGGTCAGAAAGTTGCTATTTCTGCAAACACAGCTACATTTTGCCATGGGTAAAAATGTCAATTTGCTTGAATTTAGCTAAGAGCAAAATCTCATCATTTCCACTGCCTGACAACTTTTACCTCAGAAAGATGTCAGTTCACCACCTGAACTAACTCCTTCTTGCTTTTACAAAACTAACAGACAACTGTGGCAGAAATTTGAAATGTTGCATATTTTCTTGAAAAGTCAGATGACACCAGAAGTGCATTCTCTCCTTTGTCACAGACTTGATCTTGTAAGTGGTTTGTAACTCAAAAAATAAGCAGTTAAAGAAAGTATAGGTCTTGAAACCTAAAGCCTAACACCAGGTTTAGCCTCAGCTCAATAAAAAGCAAAATGTTTTTGCTTCTTAATGTACTAAATATATGTCAGACCATTTTAATTAACAAATGAATTCTAACGTATCTCCTTCTAAATTCCATTTGCAATGCATAGTCAATGCGTCTACTCATATCCCATGTTCAGATGGAAATTTTCAATATTCCTGATATCCAGAAATAAATGTTTGATGAAAGCAATACTTTTGAGCACTTTCTTTCCAATAATATTACCCAGAGTATTTGCAATGAGTGGTGGACGCTGCCCAACCCACCTGGGCAGCAGCTTGGCGCTGTGTCTCATGTAGAGCCAAAGCTGACCAGTGTTGTTTCCCCCAGACTCATTTCAGTCACCTTTTTTCCACCACAGTATTTTTATTTATTCATCTCATATATACCCTTTTATGTCCCACACATCACTTTTGGATGTCTCAGGAATAGATATCTTTCCATCTCCCACAGATAAGACAAAAAAGTGACAGCTCAGAAATATCTGAGGATTGAGTCCTTTCCTACGGACTTGTTTTCTCTAATGGGAAAACAACAAAAAATGATGATGACTACTTCTGTAACAAAAATATTTGTATAAATTACATACTGTTGACAAATGGACATGCAATCAATATTTTTAGAGGAATATGTGATGTTTCCCCTATGATCATATTTAGCATACTTTATTTTCCATCTATCTATCTAGACCGACTGTTCAAACTGTGGCATAACAATTAGAATAAGTGATAGCATTACATTCAGAAAACAAAGAGTATGATGGCACAATTTATCTTGTTACATTTCTTGATTTAATGCCAGTCTGGGATTTCTAGTCTGAACCAGATTTTTCTTATGCTATAAATATTTCAGTTTTTTCATTTATTCTTGATTTAGTTTGACAGTAAATAATCCCATGGAAGCTGCTGTTGGAAAGACATTGTAAAAATTATTAAGTGTCTGCTTGCCAGTTAGGTCCTTGTGTTTGTCAGAATGAAATAAGTAAAACAGTTGGGTTACTTAAAGGAAATGTGTGTGCATGTGTAAATATATATATATATATATATATATATATATATTTACAATAATGCCCCATAATTTGCAATCTTAGAAGCAGGAGAATTATAGTTCTGAGGATTGATCAAAACCTTATGTGAACACAAAGATCCCTGGGTATATACTCTGGATATTGGCAGCAGCAGGTACATCTTGGTTTCAAAAGACTCATGTATAACCCAACAAGATGAGAATAGAAAGCAGGGAGTTTTTCAGAAGGATCTGTCCTTGTAAGAAAGGACAAGTATCTTGGAAAAGGATGGATCTGGTCAGTTAATTGGCTTTTATTGGTGATTTTTTGTTGTTCAGAATATTCCCCCTGAGAAGCACCTGAGTAACATTGGAGGGTTTAAGTCATTTTCTTTTGAGCCATAATTGCCTTTGGCAACTCTTGCAGCTTCAAAAGGGATTTCAGGTGATCTGCACAGAAGAACTCACACACTGAATGTGTAATGACCAGAAGCAGGACATATTTGAGAGATCTTGAGGAAAGGGAGTTGGATGGAACCAGAGTAGTCAGCAATGGGAAATGGTCTCTGTCTACATCAAGAATAACAACCACAGAAAAATGCCCAGCACCGGGGGTGAATGCAAATAAAAATGCTAAGGAAACACATGGGAATGTGCAAAATTCATTGCAATAACTTCAACAAAAGAGGATAAACCAAAGACAAATACTGTTTTTTGTCTACTGATACTGAGAGAACACTGGCATCCAGCAAGCTGCCCCATTAGTAAATGGGCAATTTGAGCTTCCTTGCCCAGTGATGTTGCTGGATGCACAGGCTGTGGTTATTTGGGGATTTCTCCTGCAGGCAACAGATCCCTCCTGCTGACTTGAAGTTAGAAAAAAAGGTATAACTAGGACACAGGGAAAGGCAGGGAGTCAGAGTCACAAAATTAATATAGGAGGAATTAACACGAAATCTTAGTAAATAATTAAAATTCTAACTTTTTGATCTGAAATGATACATTCTGTTTAGGAAGAACAAGGGAAAGTTGGGGTTTTTTTGTGTCTTAAGTATCAGAGATGTGAACACCAGCTTCAAGACAAATATTGACAAACAAGAGAAAGGGTGTGACATAAATATGATGTAATTCGATAAGGAAAAGTACAAGGTTTTGCATTTATGTAAAAGCAATCCGTGCATACCTTCAATATAAGCAGGTGGTTAGAGCAGAACTTGAACTGAATGGAACTTAAAAAAAAAAAAAAAAAAAAAAAAGCAAAAAAAGCCATCCTCATTTGGGAATGTGTAAATAGCAAATAGCTGTTCGTCAGCACTTTGCCTCAGCTGGAGGAATGTGCCCAGCTCTGGGTAGTGTGTTTGTAGACAAATGCCAGCTATGCTGAAATAATCCAGAAGGGACTAAAATGAGAAGAGATGATAGAACAATGACTTAAGAAAAACAAAATAGGAATCCTCTAATATAAAACATAATAACATTCTTGAAACACACAAAAGGTATAGAGAGAAATGTCCATGTTCATCGATAGTAGATAAATAAAGGCCTTTTGTAGACAGTGTTAGGAATAACTTTTAAATCAATGATGTTGTCAAGGTTTCCTGAGGAATTTATGGAAACACTTATATTACCCTAGGTCTTTGAAGCATGATAGGAAAATATTTATTGAGGATATTTTAGGTGCAGTTACTGTTGCTTGGGGCAGGATTGATGAATAAAGGTACCATCCAGATTCTTTTTCTCTGTTTCTACTTTAACAGAATTATCCAAACTTCAATTTCCTTTTTTTTGAAACAGCTCAAGCCATTTATACTTTTAAATGATGCAGAAGTGCTTCAGTAGATCCCAGATGTCTGTGAAGTAGGACCTTACAAAAGGTTAAAAGAAACTCTGCTTTTGCCCTCCTTTTCTTCAAAAACTTAGAAGCTTGACAATGTTTGATCCTTCCCTGCCTGAAATGGCAACTAGCAATGGTGCACCAGGTTTATACGTGTCTCCCCTGAGACCACCCACAATTTTTAGGTGACATTTACAAAAACCTGTGAATAGAATTGGCTCCCTTAAAGAAGTAGGATGACTTCCAAAAGAGTTGAATTTCTTAATTTTCTAAAAAACATGTCTCTCACTCTTATCAGCAATAAGTTTCAAGCAACCCTATATGATATGTTTTCACACTGGTATGAAAAATGAGACAAGTGAGAAGATACTATGGATCTGTAAATGTGGACCATAAATGTAAATTTGCAGTGGAAAATTTTCAGTGCTTAAAAAGTTTAGAGTGATTTTATGATTTTGTAAACACATTTTATTGAGTGATTTCTGGTTTTGGCTGTTTTATGAACTGATTCCCAACAGTAAATTACTAGTTTGTCCTTTGGGAGTATAGGCCAAACAGATACTTTTTTCCTGGTTTAATTAATCATATTTTGACTGAAATATCAAAGGAAATGAAAGCAAGTTGTTATGTAAATCATTACAGGTGACTGCTTCATTTCTGAAGAATAAAACTTAACTCCAAAAAGTTCGTGGCTTTTTTTTTTTTTTTAAGTGTATATATGACATTGTGCTGCCCTCTTCTCCCATATGAGATCTACCATTTTGCCTCAGTACCTGTTTGTGTTAAATGCATTCACCAAAGGATCCTTTTTGGGATCAGAAGCCAGACCACTATAGGACAACATCATAAAGTTGTGATGACAATCAGGAGTCAAGAAGAGTACATTTTTGCAAACACCCTTTCTTCTAACTCAGGATTGTTTGGTGAATGGACTGCAGGCAGATTTTGCTTTCGTACATGGAGAAACTCACTTCCATGCAAGTGATCTGTGTGTGACATGGAGTGGATGGATGGGTCTCAAACATTATATATGCTTTTCATTGATCTCGTTTCCAGCTTGGTGTCATTTGGGCATTATTTTTGTGATGGGATGATCCTATACAGACTATTTATTGCATTTTGGTTGTCTGAGTCTTCAAATGATACAGCAGAACATGATTGTACATAGGGAAAATTGGGGTACTTAATTTGAATCTGTACTTTAATTACCCAATATCTCTTCCTGTTTTTACAGAATATCAAGGTAGTCACAGGAAGACACACTTTCCTTTCCACTGATTGGATGGGAAGAATTTTTGACCTTGGAAAGTGGAGATGGTGTTGCTATGGAAACTAATAAGTCTGCTGCCATTCATGAGCTGCAGCACAGGTAAAATGTTCCGCTGTTAGTGTTTGTGATGATTGATAAATCTATATCAGTATCGTAATTCTTCTAGAAAGAAGAAGCAATTACCAAAACTAACAGTACTTATTCGCATGAACAAGTGACTAAGGAGCTTTTCATTAGGACATGCTTTAATTTTAAGCAACACAAGGTGCTGTCTTTGAACCAGGAAAACATGTTTCAAGATCATAAGAAAACTGTACTCCAAGTAATAGATTTTAAAAATATTCTAAACAGTAATATTGAGAAAAAATTACAATTGTTACTTGGCTAACAATGTGCACATGAAAGGCACTTCTTAGCCACAGTATAACTAACTCCCAAGCCAGTAAATGGACCTGGATTGAAAACCAGAACAGTTTCGTGAGGTGTATAGGAGTGTTGCGCATGAATGGTTTAAATCACACACTTAATATCATACCCTTCAAATGCCTCCATACTAGTAAAATCTCTTTAAATCACATCTAACTTAAAGACAAATAAAAGCAGTCATTTATGAAGGCAAAAATAGTTAAGAAATATAAGGACTTTCAAAATATAAATACAAAAAATGAAAGAAAATCTTGCTTATTGCCCAAAGGAAATTAAAATGTTCCTTCTTTGCCTCCAGTTGGCACAGTGATAGACCCTCATGCAACATACCCTGCTGCTGAACCAGGTGCTGGGCATCCTGTCAGTCCTCAGACTGTATTCAGAGGACAAAGTGCGGTTGGAGAAAGCAGGATTGCTTTCCCACATTCTCCTTCTCAAATATTCCTTGCGCTTAATTAAAATATCAACAGGGTGCTAACATGTTTTAAGGTAAAATAATCATTTCTGCCTGGCTGGGCATTGTTCACAATGAGGGTTTGGTATTCTGAGTTCATCCTTTTTTTGAATCTTTCTTCTAATTCAAAGCACATAACTTGACAATCCTGTTTCATAAACCCATATAAATGGAATTAACTCATGTGACTCATTACAGACTCATCTAAAACAGACACAAAATGGTAACTGAACTCTTTGAGGTTATAATGAATTTGGGGATGAACTGACCCTTCACACTTCTCTGTGATAGAAACCATGACAACTGACTTTTGTCTACAATTAATGTATTGAACTCTAAATAGCTGGGATGTTACTCATGTACTTACAAGGAAATTGTACTAAAGTAACCTCAAATGATACTTAAATTAATTATGTAGTTCATGAGTCAGCGGCTGTTTGAAATGAAGAAACAGAAGCAGAGTGCAGACTTCAGTAGTACTTTAAAATATTATTAAAATTAAACTAGATAATATTTTATCTAATAGATTCCAGGTAAAAATGTAAATCTCAGGATCAGACTTTCTGTTAAATCAGTACTAAGTGCCTATTTCAGTGACAATCAACCAACATGTTAAGGACTTCATATTAAAATATCCGTAGAGTTTTCAAGCAAGCAGTCACTCACGTAGGCCCAGATAGGCTGAACTGAACAACAAACTGTTTTGGACCCCAATCTTCCCTTTAAATTGCCCACTGCACTGCTGCAGCATCTATCAGCCCTTTTGGGCACTTCTCACAGATCATTTCCTTTTTTTCTAGTCTAAATAAAGGACTTGTACCAATCACTTAGAGTACAAGATTCCCCTATAATTTTGTGAGTGCTTTTAGGAGTTGTGAAATACGCGGTGGTCCTGGAATGTGACTCACTGGAGGGGCAGTACAGCTTGGTGATGGACAAGATATTTTTACACCCATGTTTTGTATTTCCAAATATAACCTTTTCTGTCACATCTTTCCACAAAGCTTTCATTTTTCAAACTTCTTATCATCTTCATCTTTCCTGCTAGAGGATCATCTTTTAATGAGACCACTAGGCTGGGCCAACTGAATTAAAAGATACTAGGAGCTCACTTTTACATTAACATGTTCAGTTTTTTGAAGACTTAACAGTAGAGAAAAATGTAAATGTTTCATATTCCCAGTCACCAAGAGTAGATCACAACAGCACCTTTGTCCTGATCCTGCCATCAGTTAAAGGAATACCAAAACCTCTCACTGACTTCACTGAGATAAGTTAATTTATACCTTGCTATAAATTAAATCCATTGAGTTCAGTGGAGATATGCTGATTTTCTGTACATGGCATCCTGAAATATGCTTGAAGGTAATAGTCAAACCTGCAGTTATGGACAAAACTTCTTTGATTTATTATATGGATGGTTTGCATCAATTTAGGAGTAGTAGAACTGAGTGGGAAAATTAGGAACTAGTCACAAAGCTGAGCAGAACAGTTTTGTGGGCTGGGGCCTGAAAGGTAATTCAGGTTGTTAGATTACATTGGTCAGCCATTTCTTCCTTGTTTCTTCCTCAGTTCTACCAAACATGTAGAATGAAAATGATATTGACCTATAAATCAGTTTAAAATCTAAGGATTAAATGTGCTGTACAGCAGAGCTAGATATTATAACACCACACCGCCCACACACACCCCTCCCCCAAATGGTAGTTCACTTACTCTAAAAACAAACTACTCTCTATATTCCTTCTATATGGAAAGATCGTGGAAAGAGTAGTAATCCCTCCAACTCTTATTTTTCAGCAGAGCTTTTTTATGTGACTCAACAAGGGTCTTTGGTGTTTTCTTGCAAGTGCCTTAGGGGATAAAATAAAATAAAGTAATGTATGCATGCTCAGTGACACAGTGAGGGAACAGATTAGACTTTTTTGTCATAACCCACTGCTATTTAAATGAGATAATCTGATCTAAGCAGAGCACCAGAGGCAAGAAGGGTGATAAACTCAGAGATCATTACTTTAACTTCTCTGTACTTGTTATAAGGATGCGTGACAACCATCTCCTTACACTATTGTTGAAATTTAAACATTGCTTGATATTAATATGCTAAGAAAGAGCACTCACTTTCTGGATTAAAGACCAAGACAGAATTTTGAGAAGCTGATATGAAGAGTAAGATGTCCAAAGTGCTCAAGAAATAAAATGCTTATTTCTTCACACCAAAACTGTCTCAAGTTTTCCTCCTGTGGCTGCTCCTAGCTCATGCTCCTTCCCCTGGAGCTCTTGTGCAAGGATGGTTGCCAGCAATATCACACTGGGAGAGGAAGCTGTCTTCAGCATCCATCAGATGCACCTCGGACCGCTGTTTGGAAATGGGTGCCGGGCCTGTGCCTGCAACAGGCACCTTTGTCTATCTGTCTCTCTGGTCGCTCCATTCTCTTCTCTGTCAATAAGGATTTATGGATCCTGACCAATGCTGTAATGCAAAGAATAATTTGATCATAAATGCGTTGCAAAAGCCATTCTCCCACCCTTTTCTATCACCCAGTTTAGGAATACAGGGTACATACAGGTTGCAGATCTTCGATGAGAAGAGAAACAGGAGTAGCTTGATTTTTCCAATGGCTGACCTCAGTATATGATAGTGGGGGAACGAACAAGTCTGTTGGTAGCTCCCTACACAGCAGGCTATGTACAGTCCCACTTTGGCACCACTTTCATTGCAAATATCGGAGCTTCCCTGCTTCCTTCTTTCCATTCTCTGAGGCTCTTTACAGCTCAGGAAGAGGAGGAGAGTTATCTTCTCATTATTTCTTCAGTTCCTGTCTTTCCCCTGGATAGCTTATCCAAGTTTTCTGTATCCCTCCCATTTCTAATGGCTTCCATGACCCCTCTTTTGTCAGATTCCTGCTGGCTTCTGCCCTTCAAATAAATACATGCAATATTCCATATAGAGATGGCCTTTCAACTGTCCTTTGCTCTGCTGATGATCTTGACCCCATCATGGAAGCAAGTGGGTTTTCTAGGGTTAAAGATTATCAAAAAGGAAAATGTCAGTTAATGCTATCAGTCTCTTACAATTAGCTATAAACAATATAAATATTAAAAGCCGTACCAGACACTCTGAACCTTCATTTTGGAAATGAGGCAGTAACTGTATTTTTACACTTTGGCTTATTGGCTTAAATTAAATTGAAGATGCAACTGCAACCTCCCAGGCTGTGTTTTGGCCCGTCATTTTGAAACTGCTAAATTAGAGAGAGAAATTTCATGATGTAAAGTGTCCTGATACTCCTTTGGGTCACAGCATGATGAATATTGAATACATCACATCCCGCACTCTGCCTGCAGTCTCTTGCAGATTTATTGTTAGCATAACAGCACCTTTAGGAATGGAAAAGCAGACCATATATTTTAAGACAAGTGACATCTTTGCTATTTCTAACAGCGAACTGTGAAGATGAACTAGTCCAGCCTGGAAATGTTAAGGTTTCTCTGAACAACCAGAGGCATTTGGAGACCCACTGATGAGTCAGAGAATGATAATAATTAGGTCTCCCTTGGACAACATGGAAGTTTTCATGACTTTGGGAAACAGTGACCCTGAAAGCAGTATTTCTGTAAATGACTTCCAAGCATCTGGCAGGAGAGGATGACTGGTAACGCAATGACTTTCTCAGGAGACTGAAGAGTGACATTTAAAGGAAAACCTTGGTTTCCAGTTTATGGGGTGCCGTGTGGTTCAGCTCATTTCCCCAAATCAGTGAACAACAAACATACTCTGGTACAAAGCCAGCAAAAGAGAGTGCCTAATGCCCCAGAGATGCAGTGCTGGGATGGGCGAAAGAGAGATGATGAGCCACAGAGAGGCAGACAGTCTTTCCCCTGCCACTTCAAGACAACAATCTTTTTGACTAATGGCAAGATGTATTTAGAGAGGGTGGGCTATGAAATTATTTAGTTACTCCGATTTGATGTTAACAGACTTAACCTGACTTCTGTTCTTAGAAAGATTTCAAAAAGAGTTTGCTAATTGCACCACAGCATCGCGCTCCTTCATACCCATCCAGGATGCTCTTGGGGACACTGCTTGGACTGCCTCCCATGCTGAAGGAAGACCCAACCTCAGGGAGGTGCTTTTCTAATGGAACAAGCTGTTTCTCCAGCACCTGGAGGCCCTGGCACAGGCTAATGTGGACAGTGAGAGATGGGAGAGAAGATC